TGGGATTACAGGGATGCGCCACCATGCTCAGCTAATTTTCTTTCTTTTTTTTTTTTTTTTGAGATGGAGTCTTGCTCTGTCACCAGGCTGGAGTGCAGTGGCGCAGATCTCGGCTCACTGCAACCTCTGCCTCCCAGGTTCAAGTGATTCTCCTGCCTCGGCCTCCCGAGTAGCTTGGACTATAGGCGCCCACCATGCCAGGCTAATTTTTGTATTTTTAGTAGAGAGGGGGTTTCACCATGTTGGCCGGGATGGTCTCGATCTCTTGACCTCGTGATCTACCTGCCTCGGCCTCCCAAAGTGCTGGGATTACAGGCATAAGCTACCGCGCCTGGCCTAATTTTTGTATTTTTAGTAGAGATGGAGTTTCACCATGTTGGCCAAGATGATCTTGATCCCTTGACTTCGTGATCCACCCACCTCAGCCTCCCAAAATGCTGGGATTACGGGCATGAGCCACCGCGCCTGGCCGCACAGTTATTTTTATGGACAAGTCTCTCCTGTGACTTGTGAGCTCCTTCTAGTTTGGTACTTTAAAAATTTTTAAATCAAAAGAAGCTCAGCACTGATACCTGGACCCTAAAAGTTAGAAAGATCAGAAAATGAAAATTTAGTAATGTACACTATCCAATTAGAATATACTGAAGTCAAGAGAAATATGAACAACAGGTGCTTTCTTAGGGTCACAGATTCACTGCCTACAGAAAATGTGTAAAAGGGAATTCAATGAGCACCCTGCCCCCAGTCCCAAGCAAATGACAAGGACTCAAGAAAACCAACAGAATAAACCACAAATGTTCAAATTCAATATTGTGCTTACCAAAAGCTATCACCCTGAGTTCAGCAGAAACTGCTCACTGACAGTGTAAACACAAATTCAACCCAACAACTTTTTTCATAATACAACTAAAATAAAACATATAACATATTTTGTTAAATAATTCACATACCTGATTTCTTTGAAAACAGAAATTACAGGCCCAAAGTTTTGCTCGATAATCAACCTGACTGTGAGAAAGATAAATATTGTTAGTAGGTACCACTTTTATTTTTAAGTTAGAAAGCGTTTATTTATAAATTTCAAGTTCAGTAAATCACACAAATAAATGTTTCTATGTGTATGCGTAAGTAAGTACAAGTACGCAAAATGTTCACTGCAGTTAGAATTCTGGCTAAGTACACCAAAATTTCCATCAAATAGCCACAGTGAAGAAATACTAAATCTCTTTTTCTGTTTCTCGATTTCCTAATTTTTTTAATGTCATGATTTATATAAATTATAGGTTATTTCCCTTTTGCCTTTTATCTTAACATACTCTTCATGATTTTTTTCTAACATCTTTATTGTCCAGCTACGTGAAACTACTAAATCCCAACATTAAGAGCATATTTCACACACAGGAAAATGTTTCTAGATTTTAACTTGACTTAGACCACTTGAAGAAAAGTTGGGCAAGCACATTTCACTTCCTCAAACTGGTTCAAGATAACGCTTCAGTTACTTTTCCCCTACTTTCTACATGGAGAAAATTAATAACCAGTGGCTACGATTTTACATCACAGCAGCAGCACTCATATATGGGCACATTAAATAAAAGCAATGGGAATGAAGTAAAAAATGTTCCCTCATATAAAAATGTTATGACACTCTCCACCTGTTTAAAAATCATTTCAAATAATGTCCACATTTAAAAGAAATAGGTCACTATATCAGGCACACACACACAAAAATTACACTTAACAAATTGTTAAGAGCTAAAATTTCTTCTGCCTGCTACTTCTCCCTGCCATATGGCATCACTGTACCAGGGAAGCATGACAAGACAGTCTAAGCTTTTGAATTCTTTTGGGAAATTAAGAGGAATCAATAAAGTCTACAGTTAAGCCAAAAGCAAACTGATTATCAGCAAAAAAAAAAAAAAAAAAAAAAAGGAATTACAAATCCTCTCCCTCTACCTCTACCTCATTCCTGTAAGATTCCAATTTTATCTGGTCTTATCAGGCCAGGGAGGTTTCTACAAATATTCACCACTTACTACTCACCACAAGAATCATTAAGAGTTTCACTACTGCTCATCACAAATTTGAGGACTTGCCCAAATTTAATGACTTTTATGAGCATCACATAAAAGTCATAATATATTGTATTTATCATTTTTACCAGTTTCAAAAGAATCCATACCAAAGTGGGTTGAGAACAGCTTTACAAGTTGGCCTGCTGCAAAGCACAGGTTCATATTGTACAGGAGGTAGGTCTGGACGTTCTTTCAAAGGAGTAAGGAGACAAGCCAGGGGTACAACCATTCTTGTAGCCTCCAGCCGGCTGGAAGGCCACACATTCCAACTAAAACGCACACCGTCCCGTTCTTCATTCTGCTGGATGAACTCCAGGTATGTCGCCATAGTCTAAAAGGGAACTGAAGATAAAACGTTAATAACCTTAATGGTATGTGAAATTCTGAACTAAATGTCAAAAAAAGAAGATGGGCCACGTAACACAGTGTTACAGTGCTTCTTTTTTTTTTTAATCCCAGCTTGGCTCACTGCAGCCTCCACCTCCCGGGTTCAACCAATTCTCCTGCCTCAGCCTCCCGATTAGCTGGGATTACAGGCATGTGCCACCATGGCCAGCTAATTTTTTGTATTTTTAATAGAGGCGGGAATTCACCATGTTGGCCAGGCTGGTCTCAAACTCCTGACCTCAGGTGATCCACCCACCTCAGTCTTCCAAAGTGCTGGGATTACAGGCGTGAGCCACTGTGCCTGGCCCATCTAACAGTGTTTCTTAAATACTCTGGAAGAAACTGTTGCTGTAGAGTGACAGTATTTTGTTTCCTTCTGATACCCAAAAGTTGGTTAACCACAGTTATTGCTGACCACTGCTCCTTTCTCAACTCTCAAGCACTTAAAAATCAATCAGTGGGAGGTTCACGATCACCTGATCATCTCCAAACTACATGTAGTTAAATACTACGACTTCAAACCTCCTCACAGATCACACATCCTATCAGTGAAGCCAATTTTAGCCCCTCGCTCAAGGGTAAGTCTTGAACCCTGTTCAGCACCCAGCTATCTTCCTCTCTAATCTCCTTCCTTTCCTTCTCTATTAAATTTTACATTCCAAGTGATTTTTTTTTTCGGTAGCGGGGCGAAGTGCTTGTTCCCTTCCGTACTTGGTTAACTTTGGAGAAAAGAGCTGGATACTAATCTTCAAGTTTAGTTCATAATGGGAACCAGTTTTGAGCTAAATTATTTCTACTTGGTATTACCAAAATTACTATTATGCTGAGTCTCACCAGAACCTCTTTCCTCGCCACGGTTGCTTACGTTCATGCCTTGAAAGGATGTGGTCAAGGCCAGGTGCCGTAGCTCATGCCTATAATCACAGCACTTTGGGAGGCCAAGACGGGTGGATCACGAGGTCAGGAGTTCAAAACCAGCCTGGCCAACACAGTGAAGCCCCATCTCTACTAAAAATACAAAAATTAGTCAGGTGTGGTAGCACGTGCCTGCAGTCCCAGCTACTCGGGAGGCTGAGGCAGGAGAACTGTCTGAATTCGGGAGGCGGAGGTAGCAGTGAGGCAAGACGGTGCCATTGCACAGCCTGGGCGACAGAGCCAGACTCTGTTTCAAAAAAATAAAAATAAAAAAGACTGTGGTCAATAAAACTGTCTTACAGGCTGAACTCTCAAACCCAAATGATCCCAACTTCATTGAGTGTTTATACATCCTGTTCATATCCTAAAATCTAGGGTAACACACAACTCAGCTATTGGGGCTCAAGGGAACAAGCCCCTCAAGAAAAGTAGTAAAACGGCAAAACAAAGAGTTTATCATATTAAAGTGGCCTCTCGCACCCACTTCCTTCAATGTGGATAACAACCATCTCTGTTATTTTGGGAAGTACCAAACTGTAAATAATTTTGATCAAGGCAATAACATTGCATGGCTAGAAAAGCAAATGAATTAGTCTACTACATGGAGCCCAGAACACAAGAATTCCTGTGTTTGCTCCAACCGAAACTCTAAGAAATCTATTTGCTATTTCTAGCAACGGCAAGAACCTGAAGCACTGTGTCAGCACTCTGGAGCTTCATGGGAAGCAAAGGGATAACTAAAGTCGGAATGAAAGCAAGTTCTAATATCACAACTCTCAGCAAGCATGTCAGCAGATTTCATTAAATAACCGTCTCTCTCTCAAAACGTTCTTTATTAAAAGGTACTGGCCGCCAGGCGCAGTGGCTCATGCCTGTAATCCCAGCACTTTGGGAGACCGAGGCCTGTGGATCACCTGAGGTCTGGAATTCAAGACCAGCCTGGCCAACAAGGCAAAACCCCGTCTCTATTAAAAATACAAAAATTAGTTGGGCGTGGTGGCAGGCGCCTGTAATCCCAGCTACTCGGGAGGCTGCGGCAGGGAAGATTGCTTGACCTCGGGAGGCAGAGAGGTTGCAGTGAGCCGAGATCGCGCCACCGCACTCCAGCCTCGGCGAAAAAAAGAAACTACTGGCTCCATCTAATGGTTTCCAAGTATGTACAGCCTAAGACCTGCCGCTCCCTCCTTTATTCACTGCCTGTTTCCCTCACCCTTCTAGGGTCTGGATTCTGAGCACTAGACACACAATCCAACGGGACTACAGAAGGTCCACGAATCCTCTGAAGTTATGCGCATGAGGGAATGTGCCTTTCTTCTAGGGAGATGGGTCCACAGCTTTTAACAAAGTATCAACGGGGAAGGTATCTGAAGAGGTAAATAACTGAAAGTATGAATTAGTGAATGAATGAAAGGCCTGGAAAGATAACAGGAGAATACGCCAAAAAATCTGAACCACCCTTATCTCGCCAACTCGTAACTTCTCAGGACACAGTGACCATGTGTATACAAGATTAAATGAGGTTTAATCCTTGAAGGGAGTCCAAGGACCTGGGTTCCAGTTCCAGCTGTCATGAAGCAAAAGTCGTTTCACTTGTCTAAGTCTTGAGTTTCTCAACTATAAAACGGGGGTTGGGTCCTTCCAGCTGTGCGCACCCCGCAATTCTGGGGAATCTGGAGCCAGAAATCGGTGCCAGCCTGGTGGGGGATGACACCCTCAGGGGATTCCTGGATCATCGATTCCCCCCGCTACCCCAAACTGTCAACAAAAGGCCTCATCCCAGCAGCCGCCCACCTTCGCCCCCCGCAGAAACTCATACCCGTGCCCTCGGACCTCCGTCACCTGGGCACCGCGCTCACCTGGCCGGAACCGCTCACCTAGCTAGAGCCGTCCTCACCCACAGCTGCAATAGCCAGGCCCCGGCTCCCACCGCCAAGTCCAGCTCAGCTCTCAACCGATTGGCCAGCGCCCCAGCGCGTCATGCCACGACGCTGTCCACTGGCCAATCAAAGAGCGCTTCTCCAACGGACTGGCGGAAGAGAGAGACTCAGAGAAGCCCTGCCACCATCTTGGAACAGGGCAAGACAGGTGTGTATCGCACTTCAAAACCACAGTTCCTCGGAACACGTTTCCACACCCCTAAACGTTTCTGTTTCAGAAAACCCCGGCGCCTGCCGCACCGTGGCCTAAGCGCAGCCAGCGCTCCTCAGAGGTTCGCCCTGATACAATATAACATCCGCCCGTCTCAGTGGGAAGTCCCGCTGATCGCCTTAGCTACCGGAAAGCGAGAACGATGACGTATGCTCGCGGAACAGGGAGCTTCACGGGTTGGAAGAAACTAAGGCTGCCGGAAGAAGGCGTCAGCGGGCGGAAGGGGCGGGGCAGAGGGGCGTGGCGGGTGGTGTGCGTGGCGGGGCTTAGGCAATTGCTGGTTTTGGGAGTCGGTCTCTGTGGCCAGTTGAATTTGAAGTATAGCGGTGTGGTGGTGGTTCACGTTACAAGCTCTCCTCCCTCGCTTGCTGCAATGTCTTGGCGCTCTCAGCGAGTCCCTATCATTCTTCCACATGGAGATGAATAATTGAGAACTGAAATATTCAAGCATTTTAAGAGAGTAAGCTTGTAACTACATAGAACATAATTTTGTTTTTTAAAATAATTCGAACTTTTAGATTCAGGGGGTACACTGCATATTTGTTACCTGGCTATGAGGTTTCGGATTCGAACGATCTGGTCACCCAGATACTGAGCATACTACTCAATTTTTTCAGCCCCTCCTACCCTCCCTCGCCACTCTAGTAGTCCCCGGCGTCTATTAATGTCACCTTTGCGTCCATGTGTGCCCAATACTTAGCTCCCACTTACAATTGAGAACATGTATTTGGTTTTTGTCATGCGCATCTGTGTGAAGAGACCACCAAACAGGCTTTGTGTGAGCAACATGGCTGTTTATTTCGCCTGGGTGCAGGTGGGCTGAGTCCGAAAAGAGTCAGCCAAGGGAGATAAGGGTGGGGCCGTTTTATAGGATTTGGGTAGGTAAAGGAAAATTACAGTCAAAGGGGTGTTTTTCTCTGGCGGCAGGAGTAGGGGTCACAAAGTGCTCAGTGGAGGAGCTTTTTGAGCCAGGATGAGCCAGGAAAAGGAATTTCACAAGATAATGTCATCACTTAAGGCAAGGACCGGCCATTTTCACTTCTTTTGTGGTGAAATGTCATCAGTTAAGGTGGGGCAGGGCATTTGCACTTCTTTTGTGATTCTTCAGTTACTTCAGGCCATCTGGGCCATGTACGTGCTGCAAGAATGGCTTGGCTTGGGCTCAGAGGCCTGACAGTTTTCTGTTTCTGCATTCTTTTAGGATTATGGCCTCCAGGTATCCATGTTGCATCCAAGTTGCTGCAGGCATCCATGTTGCATCCATGTTGCTGCAAAAGGCATGATAGAACACAACTTTATACAGCCACCACAACCGTTTTTATACACTGCCAAGTGGCAAACATGAAGACATTCATTACTGTGACTCAGAGTTGTAGACTCTGCAGCATATA